AAAAACGTTGATGATGGCTTATTCCTTCTTAGAGTGAATTTTTCCAAGGCCGATTCTTATTCCAAAATTAATGAGATACGGATGCGTCAAACAATTTGTGTGTAACTTCCGCATTTAAAGGGGTATAGAGGTCGCAATTTTCTTTTCGAAAGTTCAAATTAAAAATCGGGTGTGGCATATTATGCACAAAATTTAGGACCATACTGTATAATCAAAGGATCGAAACAAATGAAGATCTCGTCCTTTCATATGCACCGGGGTCTTTAAACTGACAAAATTTTTTCATTATTAGGCCTTGGCCTCGAAATCAGTGCGGAAAGTTGTATTATTCATGAACTTCTAAAGTTAATTATTTGCCCCGACAACTTTCCCAGGTTACCTGAGAATGGAATTATTTTAATGGATTAATTTTTTATGAAAAACTTAGTGAAACTAAATTAGACCTCAATCATTAATCAAAATCACTTGACCTTGTGAAGGACCCAACTAATCTAATTTTCTAAGTCCCATTTGTTTTCCGCTTGGTTTCAGTACTTATTTCCCAGAAGAACCATATTCAAAGAAGTTTCTTCTCATTTTCTAAATCATATTTTCATTGGTGTACGAGATGATTGTACAGTACATTATGACAAAAAGACCATAAAATGTGTGTTTGTACCGTAAGTCTGTGTTGTGTTGTACTCGCATGCGTGACCTAATCCTTCTTTCAACGCATTCATCGTTGTTTTGAGGTAGTTTCTTCATAGATGTCAGTCGCATCAAATGTCTACGAAAGTCTTCGGTCTATTCGAGAGTCAGTTTCATTTCAGATGAACGCATCTTACCACTGCGCGAATAAAAAATGAAATTGAACTTCACAAAAGCCACCACAAAACAACGGTTATCAAAGTTTATTGTGGCAAGATCACTAGATAATTCACGCCGCATGAATATGACCAGAGAATAGGACAGTTCGAGAAAGAGAACGAGTTTATTTCTTCTCATAAAAGTTTCACGATTCACGATCTTTCTTTGCAGAAAAACGCTCAATAACAAAGCAATAAAATCTAAATAAAAGTGTGTCTCATTTTCAAAACAGTCTATAGTTCGAAAAGATCTGTTAATCTTATGCTCAATTGTTTTGTTTTTAATTTATTAAACAAATTATTTCCCTGAGCTGAATTATTCTTGCACAATCTATCTTGATTCAGGCCCATTGAACTTCAATCATGGTCACTTCGTATAATATGTCAAGGTGCGATGCCAGAAAAAATATTTGCAAAAAGGCCTGGGATATCCTCAACTTTAAATCTCTGAAGCCTTCCGAGAAAAAAGGACCAACTTTTTCTAAAATTAAATAAACTTTCATACGCAGGCGGTTTTCCGACTCGTCTTCGCAACAACCCTGCTAATCCTCATCTCGGGAAGTACGTCAGAAGCTAATCCCGAATCAATCCTGAAAAGATTGCAAAACCTCTCCAAAGGCGGCATAGTGAAAGGAAGGAACTTGCTTCTCGGGGATGGAAACAACAATGAACACCGCAAAAACGCCAATAACGAAAAACAACACGTTCAATACCGTAACAGCGCCAACGGCGGCTTCGAAGACAACGGCGAAGCCATAATTGTCTCCATCAGCAGCCAAGGAAACAACAACAACAACAACGAAAATCACAAGGGTAACAACAATCAATACCATCAGCAACAGGTCAATAATGACAACGGGCATCATTCGGCCATGGGTTATGGCAGCAATAACAATAATGGTGGAAATAATGGCAATGGAAACGACTACAATAACGGCTTAGAAACAACTTCGATTGTCGGCAATGAAGACCAATCCGACACTTCCATGAATGGAGGCTTTGACAATTCAGGCAATGGACAAGATGAGTCGGACATGTTGGGAGGAAGAGGTTTCAGCAGCAGTTCCGGTGGATTAGGCGGCAACAGCAATGGCGGCGGAACCAACGGATTTGGCGGATCTAATATCGGAGTAATTCAGGCAATGGACAAGATGAGTCGGACATGTTGGGAGGAAGAGGTTTCAGCAGCAGTTCCGGTGGATTAGGCGGCAACAGCAATGGCGGCGGAACCAACGGATTTGGCGGATCTAATATCGGAGGTTTCGGCGGCAACAACGTCGGTTTCGGGGGCGGCGGTCAAAGCGTCAAAGGGAGTTCGAATCAAAAATCCAAGTAAAACATTGATTTTCTGCATGAAATATCAATTCTTAGATCTGCGACCCTATGAATCTATTCATCTTCTTATTATCAATTGATATTACAGCATAGAGGTGAATACCGAAAAACCTGGCTCCTTCACGTGTAATAGCAGTTTATAGGGAGGATCATTAATTTTATTTTACTAAAAATATTTTTTTAATCGATGCGAACAGTCAAAGTTTTACAAATGTATACTTTTGTAGTTTGATTGAGCTTTTGTATTTCCAATGAAAAAGTAAGTCAAAGATTTGCAATTTATACAATTTATTCATTTATTTTTAGTATTATTTATTTTTATTATTGTCAGATTATGCTAGTGAATTGATACAAATTCCGATTGCTGCACTCAAACTTTCCCAAGTAAACCTTTACAAAACTTTGTAGAAGAATGTTGGCATTTGGGGTTGGGCTAACAAATACTGTACTGTACTAACAAGCATTCCAACTTGAAAATAAGTGTTTGTACACAGTTCCTGCATGTGTTCACAAACACTGATATATAGCTAGGAAACATTGGTTAGGAGCAGCAAAACTTGAAATTTTCATTAATAAAAGATTGCAATTGTTCTGATGCAGCTAACAAACTGCATGCAGTATGAAGAAAAATGTTGTTTTTTTAAGCCAAAATTGAGCTTTCTTTAGCGGATGATTTGTTAATTCAAAAGTATTATTTATTCAAAGAAAAGTACACAATCAGCTGGAATCATATCAAAATATTAGGCAAAGAGTATATCAAAAGTGTTGCTTCAAAATAATGTCAAGTTTTATTAAATTGTTGCCCTTTCACAAAAAAAAAAACTGGACGTCAATTAACTGGTGCCAGTCCTATTTTAGTATGACAAGACAAGAGCAACCATGTCCTGTTCAAACTTCTTCTGTTGAATAATTTTGAAATTGAACATATTGCATTTCTGAATAAGGTGGGGTGAGCAACATGGTGGATTTCATGAGTGAAATAATACTAGAAAATTTGAAAAAGTTGGAGAAGACTTAAAAAAAAATTGTAAGGATGAGATCGGGGTTAATCTTGGATTTGGCTTACAATCTGAGGAGAGTCTGGAAACAAAGACATAGCAGCAGGGCAGATCTTGTAAGCAACCGATAGAGCTGAGAATTTTTGAGCAATTCAAGTGAAATCTAAAAAAAATTGTATTCGAACAAATATCAGACATTGAATTCAAGAGAATAACAGAGGTAGCTCGCTTCCAATCTTCTGATTGCAATTTTTTTTATATGAAAAAGTGAAAGTTGTAAGCAATCAATGAAGTATTAGATCGAGCATTCTTTGAGCAATTTAGGCGACATCTACCCAAAATGATATAGAACAAATATCAGACATTTCATAAAGAAAATAACAGGGGTATTGTGCTTCTAATCTTCCGATTGCAAATTTCAAATAAAAACGTGTAAGTTGTATATAAGCAACGTTGGTATCAGTAAGGTAGCATGCTGATGCATGAATTCTGCACCTACACAACAAAAAAAGCATCAGCATCGTTCTATGACGTGAGATGTGTGTTTCAAAACACGCCCTCTGATATTGTGTTGAGATCAAATTAGCATATTAAGTACTGTAATGAAATTAAGATGATGATGAAATTAACTCATGTTGCAGGACATTCAGGCATAAACACGTGCACTCGCATCATCACAAGCATCAACACACTCATCAGCACAAGCACAAACATGGTCACAAACACGGCCACAAGCATCAAAACACGCATCAGCACAAGCACGGCCACAATCACGGCCACAAACACGGTCACAAACACGCAGAGAATCACAAACACGGCCACGCCCATGGACACAAACACCAGCACGGCCACAAGCATCAACACAAGGGCAAAATCATGATCATCAAAAAGTACAAGAAGCAAAACGGCGGTCGTTCGCAAAACGGCGGCGGTTCAGGGCAGCATAGCAGCAGTAGCTTCAGCAGCGGAGGATGGTGAGCTGCAAACTCGATTTAATTAATTTAATTTGATTAATTTCCTCACGTTATCTGATTCCTTATACTGTATATATTTTTCATATGTATTCAGCAGACAATTTTAAATCATCGTGACATTTTTGTTTCAAAAACAGGTGAAGAAGAGGGACATTCTGCTGCTCATCCAAGAAGAGTTACCAGGAATAAACGGTTCGGTCATGTATTTTTTTTTCGAATATTCACTGAATTTTTTATGTTCCAAGTAGTTTCATTTTACGGTTTGAGATGCAGTTCAACTATTTAGTTGTTATGTTGACTATGTTTTCGAAATGAAACGATGCATGAAAAAGCCAAGTCCGTGTTTTATTCGCGTAAATTCAAGACGTTCTCGCTATCTTCGATCAAGACAATTATTTTCCGCGACGAATATTAATTTATTTTCCCTACGAAACGCGTTTTATTTTCGCCGATTTTTAAAATGCATTTCAGAACAGTGGAGATTCGATTTTTGATAATGACTAGCATCAATTTCCTAGTGATACGGCTGATATAGAACAGGAATAGAGTAGTTTTTGTCGCTTCGATGCATAATTTTAAATCATTTTTCGGTTCAAAAGTTTGACGAAATCTGGTACTCAGACTAAAAAATATTATAAATCACTGAATCATCCCGAAAACCGATTAGATTATTGATGCATTTACTTCCATGATGAAATGGGTTCTGACAGATCCATTTACATTGCTGTTACGGTTGGATGATTTTTATGGAGCAATACTCGTTCATAAAGCCTCTATGGCGATCATTAAATTTTTCCAAATGCACGTCGTCCACTTCCTATTTCTCGGATGAAAGAATAAACCAAAGAAAACGTAATAATTTTCTCAAGGGATATTCAACAACAAAGCGACTTCATTTCAATTATGCCTTGAACGCTTGCAGAAACTTGAAATGATGCAAAATTTTCTCTCGCGTACCTAAAATAGGTTCAAAGTGCAGCCCGAAAATATCAATACTGATTGGAAAAGCATTAGAATACACATTTCGGAACTTGTTTTTTCTTTTCTTGAAACGGTTTTTGAAAAAAAAGAAAATGTTTCCGCTGCTTAGAATTTGAACTCATACGGAAAAGTCAGATTCGCGTAATTTGTGTCCGTCTTCGTCGTCGAAGTCCTTGGATTCTTCTTTATTTCCACCTTGACGTTTGCCAGATTCTTCATCTCCTTTCAACTTTCGTTTGAGGAGAGCTGATTTTGAAGCCGGTTTTGAACTCGTCGCTTTTGTCCCAATGACGGATATTCTGCGAAATATTAAAAATGTGGTATAGTACTGTATTACATCATCCCAGCATGGGCACAAAGCAAGGGGCTCAGACGAAGAATGGATCGAAAGTTTCATGAGCGAAGTACTGATGTACCCTCGAATTCAAAATTTTTGAAAAACATAATCTCATGTCAAAGTTCTGCAAATCTATTCATTTGATTCGATAGCCAGACTAAAACCGAATTCCCGTTCATTCTTCATATTGCGTCCTCAAATTTTAACTATTTCTACCTCATCGTAATTTTGTCACCCTTCACCTAAAAATTGTTGTTATCAGAAGTATATCAGCGGTGTACAGTAAATACCTTTTAAATCTTACGATTTTTCTGAACTTAGTTTTGAATGTTGGACATCGACACAATACGTTTTTCCAATTTTTAAACATTTAATACTTGGTTGTCGTCAGTTTGCCAGAATATTCATGACACATTCAAGTGGTGCAGGTGAACTCTACTTCCTCTTCGTGATGCATTGCGCTTTCAAATACAGTACAGAAATTTTTTTCCATTTTGGTCTGGGTCAGAAAAAAATTTGAATAATGGCCGGCAAATTAATTGAAATTTTTGGCAACCGCGAGTTTGCGTGTGAATTTATAATACTGTACTGTACTGTAAATTCAAATGAAGCAGGTAAACTTAACTTCCTTTCAAAGCTCCACGAATTTTCAAATCTTCGCCTTTTTCCATTCCGGCATTGCTCAGCAAAAATTAAAACAATGTCCAGGAAATGAGTAAATACAGGTGGACTCTGTATACAATGATCTTTCCTACAACGATTTTCTCTCTAAAACGAATTTAATTTCATTTTTGTGTGGACATGTAAAAGTTTGTTTGCTATATAGTCTACAACAATATTCTCTCTACAGAAAATATTTTTCTGGTCCCTCAAATTTTGATTGCAGATATAGGGAGTCCATCACCTGTATTACAACAATAAAAATCGCGAGACTTTCACTATACAGTATCTGCATGAAAGCACAAGGCTGACGAAACTCATTAACCCAGTTTTCGTACATACGAGTATTTCTCAACAAAAGGTTGCTTCGTAGATGTTGAATTCGGGGATGATTTCGGGGTTCCTTCCACAGTGATCCCAGGCAGAACGACGAACGAAAAGGATTCTGCGAGCAGTGCTGTCAAAACGAGGCCAATGAGCATCTTCTTCTCCACTTCCTGTAACAAATGCCGGAAGTGATATTCATGACATCATCGCGGCTTGCTGAGGGCTTCTATTAAAGCAAAAATACCAGTTACAGTACCTTGAAAGCTCCATCTAGCCACATAGTGTTTCTCCCGATTTCAACACCCGATTGCTGCCTTTTCCTTATTCGGATCGAAAACGGGAGAAATACAGGGAAATGCCCATGTTTATTTTGCTGTGGCCTGAATTATTTATTTTATAAGCATTTATTTTAAAAGCAGTAAAATGTGTTAATTCTGTTGTCGGCTTGATGTTGCTAGTATGTGGTCAGCAAAAAAAGATGAATTGAACATAAATTATTATTTTTGCTTGAAGTCGGTATCTGCCTCTGAGCCCATTAGCATTTTCATTTTATAAGCTAATTTCCTAGACAAGTGATATTAAACCAGTCAATATGCTTGTATAATTCTGCACAAATAAGCATATACTGTATTTGGATTTAAGAATGGCGAGAAGAATATTTTGTGGATCTGCTCATAAATAACATTTAGAGGTTCCGAAAAGATTAAAAGGCCACACAGTCAAATTAACTTTTCCACTAATGCTGGAGTAAGAAGGGATTTTTTGACAAANTTTCGCCTCCAACTAACGATTAATGCCGATTCCTTCGTCCACGAATTCGCAGTGCACTCGTGCCTCTGTAAACTGAGCATGAAATGCAACAAAAAAAAGGAAGAGAGTTTTGCCAAAATAATCAGCGAATGAAACAAACATTTGCTGCTGCTGCGCGTTGCACCGGGGGAAAACTGGCAGGGAAATTGCTGATCCCGGCGTCGACCAAGACCGCGCGCGGTGGCTGATGTTGAAAGCGAGACTAACGGAAAGTGTTCTCCACTTTTTTATTCACTTTGTTTTTCCTTTTCCTTTTTGTGCATGATAAGCCCGTGACCAGGAACGCTTTCCTGTCTCAGTTGGGCGAGGGTTCCTCACACAGTTATTTCGGGGATTTAGCTGGATCACATGTTTACAGAGAGCGACCTGTTGTATGTTCGGTGCTTGAGACACAACGGGCTTATTTTAATCTATATTATATTAAAGAATATGATAGATTCATTTTTAGCTAAATAAAGTCAATCCCGACGTGCGGTCGTTCAAGATGGAATGATGAGCCGATTCCTGCGGATAAATTGTTTTTCAAATAAATTTAAATGCTATTTTGATTTCCATATTTGAAAAAGTTGATGGTTCGTCAGAATCATTGGAGATTTTTGAGTGACGAACCATTAAACAAACATGGCTGGAAAATCTGCTGTTCCCCTAGGCTAAAAATCCAAAAATGAAAGGGAAGGGGACCACTAAAATACGCAAATGGTTCAATTTCCATTGCCTTAATTTTTTTGCGTTGCAATGAATTAAAATACTTTTATTACGTTTTTCAGATAAAAAAAATTGACTTCACAGTACGGAAGGGCCTTGAGTAACAAAACTAATCCAGTCCATACATATCTGGTCTGTTGATCAAAGTTATTGGTTTTTCAAATCATGATTTCTCGTAGGTTAAAATGAAAATCAATTAGCTCCAGTATAAATGAAATGAACAGAAAAAGCAGAAAACACTTAAAGTCTTGTTGAAATACGTTTCTTCTTCCACAACAAAATTGTTTAGAACATAATCGTTCTCTTTGTCCCTGTGTAATGGTAACAACATTTTTTTTTTCATAAACAGTTTTTGCTTTGAAAATGATTTGTTCCTGGTCCTAAAGCTTTTGTTGCGACATACTGCATAATGTTAAATTTGGGAATGATTGAAAACAACGAAGTATGAAGGGGGAAAGGAATTTCAAATTTAATCAAATTAAAACTTGCATTCTTTGTACTGTATTGCAAATTGAGAAATAGGTTGTCTATAAAGATGATAATTTCATTCTTGTATGAGATTTTTCCAGAAAAATCTTTCATATTTTTCCTTCTTCACTTCAGATATGTTCCTCAGGTCAAGTAATTGTTGAAGATCATCCAAAACTTGTTTGCTATACAGTAAAATCTCATCACAACAAATCACGTTTGAACAAATAATTGCTAGCCATATAAATTTGGGGGGGGGGGTCCCTGTTCAATAGCCATATTGTTATTTCATTTTATCAAAGCTATAATTTACTGGTCCCAAATACTGCCTTCATTGTAAAAATATTTTATTAAAGTTATTTGCTGCTCAAGTCCCTGTTGCATGCAATGAGGAAACTTTCGGAAAGGTCCAGAGGAGAGACCCAGTGTTGGGCGAGACTCAGCTGAGTTTCGGCGCGGGCTTTTTTTGCCGGTTGCGTCATAGACCCCAAACCACACAACCGCCTTCTGGAGCGACGCAAGAATGACTGCGCGCCTGCGCGGTCTTCCGCGACTGCCACTCGGGAAGCGTCTGCGCAACTCGCACAACTGTGACACGATGGCAATGCCCATCACTGGTATGTTGATTTATTTATTCATTTTTTTTATGGGTACCAGTAACAAATAAAAATAAAAAAACATGCCAGCATGGAGAAAATGCCGGAGGGAGACAGTGGAGAAAATGCCAGGGTCGAGGAAAATGTCCCCGGGGAAGAGGGAAATTCTGGGAGAGATTTTTAGTGGTGAAGCTGAAATACTCAATCTTTTCTCCGTGGTTGATCGGTTATTTTTTTTTAGGCTCTGTTGAAATACGAATAGGTGATGAATGCTCTTTTGGAGCTTTTCCATTAATTATTTTGATCGACAAAGTATTTTTTTTAGCTACAAAGATGAAACGATCCATTCACAGACATCGTACCTTTCGAGGAAAATAACCCCGGCGGGGAGGGTGATTCTGAAGATTATGTTTTTAGTTCAACGAAGTTGCTCAATCCTTTTCCTTGGTTGATGATTATTTTTAGCCTCATTTTTACAAGAAAAAATCAGTCATGAAGCCCCATTGGAACTTTTTAGATTTAATACCGGTATATTGATTGACAAAATATGTTTGAGCTGAAAAATGACAACGATATATTCATAGACCTCGAACCTTTCGAAAAAAAAATGTCTTGTAAGGTACAACTGGGAGAGTTTATTTTTAGTGAAGTAGAGTTATACTCAGTCCTCTTCCCAGGTCAATTACTTTTTCAAAGTTTTTTTTTTTCGAATGAGTAAAAATGTGGTGCCCCTTGGAGCTTTTCTATTTATAATCTTTAGAGATAATTATTCTTTGGCTACAAAAATGAAAACAACCCTTTCACGGACTTCGTGCCTTTAAACAAAGATCCACAAAGTTCTTGCCAATTTTGTTCGCAGGTCCAACTGCTAATTTCTACAGCATGACATGCGAAAAATGGGTATTTCACAGGCAGTCCCGTGTCTTGTACAGTATATGTAATCCACGGAGAACAGATTTGAAAAGTTTGCTCCAGGAAGAGAAATCATGTCATATGAAAAAATATCAATGTTTGAAAAAAATCGAAACGAGGAAGTAATTACCTGGGGCACTTCGAGAAAAAGTATAGTCCAAGTAGCTCTATAAAAAAGTATTCGCAAAATTATCAAGTAAAATAAGCCACTGACCATCAACAGTTTCATGATTTCCCATGATCAATCTCAGGTTTCATCATCCGCTTCGTCGACTCATGGAATTATTTTTGAATTTACTTTCTCGAATACGAATTTTCTAAACCAACCTTTTCTGATCTTCTTTCCTGACTTTTTCTTTACCATGACATCATTTTTCTCCGTGCCAGCATGATGTTTCGTAGTCCGCTCAGCAAAAAAAAAAAAAAAAAAAAAATCTGCGCATGCGCTTTTCTCCCAATAAAAGTTCGTAAAATCTGAAACTGCGGCCTATATGCTGGAGACATTCCAGTATATAGGCCACACCGGAGTCTTTTACTATTGGCGGTCTTTACTCGAATAAAAAATCAAGTTCAGTTAACGGAATATATCCCAGGCCCATCCACCATGAAAATGTCATGAAGCACTTCCATTATGCAGAGGTGAATAGTGAAACTCGTGCTTCGTCCTTATTCGCCACTTCCTGGATTTTTCATCAGGAAGTTTGCAAGCTTTGCTTGAGAATAGACCATATTATCTTTTACAAATATGTCAACCTTTTGTAGCCAAAAATGCTTTTCCGCGGGAAAATCCTGGGAAAAATTTGGTTACGGCCGTTTATAACATAATCTCGAGGAAGTAATTTCAGCATTTTAGCCGGAAGCACCCGATTTTTCGTTCGTCGTTCACGTTTCCAAAAAGGCTGGCGGAAAATCTCTGCTCTTTCCGGGTGCCAATCAAGTGTGGTTACATGGATTTGAGGGATTTTAAATGCCATCCAAATGCGTGAAACGGATTCCTCAGCCTTTTTCTTTTTTAATTGTAAAGACGGATGTTTCTTGGTGTCCGAAGCATTTGCATTGAATTCTCTCTCGGGAGAACAGTTCAATATACAGCAAAGTGATTCCAGTTAGCAGAAAGACAGATTTTATCAAAAACTCCTCCACAGAGCCAAATTTCGATTAAATCTCCTTCAAGAGTAGTCCAAAATGTTTTCCTAATTTGAAATTTTTTGGAAAATTGTTAGAATATATTTTGGATAAGATTTGGAGTTGTTTTGTAGTCATTCTGGATTAATTTTGGATTCGCTGTGGGGCAGAATTGGACCAGTTTAAGGCAACTGGTCCAATTTTCATGCAAAAATTAGCCAATACACTTTTCCAAATTTGGAAAAAATTCTCCAAAATGTCTT